TTCAGGAAAGCCGGTGAATGACCTTTAGAGTACAGATTATGTGCCGAATATTTCCTCATACTCCGGATGTGATGAAAACACCAAATGTTCTTCAACAGGCATGACCGAGCAGTAAATCTAAATGAAAAGAGAAAATTCCTTCAAACTGATATCAAAACATCATGAAATATAACTTTGAATTTCGATTAAAACAGAAGTAATCACATAGACAAATGTGTGGATTTACGTAAAATGTAACATATATTATACACATATATTATTCAACTTAAAAAATGAAATCCATACTCACATAGAGACAACGTAATGATGTTAAGAAGGAAACAGCATATTTTTTTTTTTAAAAATAGAATAGAATTAGCTTACAACAAGTTCAAAAACTCAAACTAGAAAACATGAGGTGAATAGAAAATTTGGTTGCCTGTTCTATCAAGTTTATAGTGTTGTATGGATATATTTTCTCTTGAGGCTATGCCATTCTAGAAACTTGTAATACATTTGTATTAAAAGCAGTGTTTGTGCATTTTAATGTCATTCCGAAATAAGATTAAGGTCTTATGTCAGCAAGTAAGTGGTGTATAATGCAGGTTAAGCTAGATTTATGGTTATAGCATTAAAATGAAAGTCTGATTCATTATTGCATATATAACTGGCACCTCTTTTAATATTCTTTTGTAACTGCATCATTTTTTATGTACAAACAATATAAAAAACAAGATCAACAAGGAAAGGCGGCGTTCAATGAACGCAACCCCCAGTTTCATATAATGTATATTAGTAATTAAACATCATATTATTATCTTTTACCAGACATTACTGGAGTTACCAAGAACAGAAGATTTAGAGCCAGGTGAAGGAATTCAGGCAGTTGTTTCAACTAGCGAGGCAGGGACGCAAACAGATATGGATGGATTATCCTTTGAGACATATTTAGACTTGAATACAACTCAGAATGAAGTAATAAATAAACAAAGATCCTTTATTGATGATCTTATTTCTGCTCACAAAATAAGACAACAGCAGTTTGATATTTTCATCAAAGAAGTCTCAGACTTACAGGAAAAGATTAAAGAGTTGGAAAAAGAAAATGTAACCATATCTACAATTTAAGTGAAAACCTGCTTCAATTTTAAGTTCATTGAATACAACGACAAGCTCACAGTATTTTATACAGGCTTGCTACATTACACAACTTTTCTTGTAGTGTTTAAAGATGCGGAACAGGTCGTTTCCAGGAAAAAAAACTAAGCTTGACCTTAACGACGAACTGTTATTAACATTAGTAAAGTTAAGACTGAACCTTCCAATGGAAGACTTGGGAAATCGCTTTGGAATAAGTTCTGGATTAGGTAGTCGGATTTATCATGCCTGGCTGGATGCCTTGAACAAAACCATAGGTGGACTTGTCATCTGGCCTCCTTGTGACAAAGAATTACAACTCCCAAATGTGTTCAACACAAAAGAGTTAAAGAAAGTAAAATGTGTTATAGACTGTACCGACATTTTCATAGAAAAACCACTTTCTCTAAAAGCCCGTGCCAAGACATATTCAAATTATAAAAGGCACGATACTGTTAAAGTACTGGTTAGAATAAGCCCTTCGGGGAGTGTCACACATATTTCTCATTGCTGAGGTGGAAGAGCAAGTGATAAGAGAATAACAAATGAGTGTGAGTTGTTGGAAAAATTTATGCCTGGGGATATAGTCATGACTGACAGAGGCTTCCTAGTTGAGGAGGAATTTGCGACACGTCAAGTCAAACAATCATGCCAGCATTTACTAAGGGAAAGAACCAACTCTCGACAGAAGAAGTAGAAAAAAGTTGTCAGATGTCACGAGCTCGTAACCATGTTAAAGATTAATTGGACGATTGAAAGACTTTAAAACCATAAGTGGGACAATGCCTTTAGCATTTGTGAAAAAGAAAGGGACGTGCAAAAAAGTTTTACATGTGGTTGGAGGCATTGCTAATATGAATATCCCCTTGTTGTGAATGAGTGTGTAAATGAAACTCATCTCTTTTTAGAGCAGGTATCTGAATTGTGGACTCTTGAGGATTAAGTAATGTACACAATATATACATATTCAAATAAGTTAAAACTTGTCTTGAATATAAACATGTATGTTAACTAGTCAGCTGACAAGTGAATGAGCAACAAATTGACTGACAAATAGACAGTTCTGTTATTTTTTGCTAGAACACTATTATATTTACGACTCATATTGAGCCAAGCTTACAAAAAATAAGATTTTATTAAAATATATGTCTACGTTGCATTTATGTTTCTATAGCATAATTTTGCTTTGGTAAATATGAGAAACAAGAGCCCGGTTTGAACCAGGTGATGCTACCCGAATAGGTTTTTGACACAGAAAAGTACACCTCTTGTAGTTTCAGAGATATGCCCCTGGACAAAGTTCAAAGTGCAATAGTTCCAGATTTAGGCAAGGCAGGGTTACTGTTCTTTGCACTGGACTTCTAATACATAAGATCTGTCTACCTACAAAGATTCTTGTTGATACCTCTTATGGTTTCCGAGTTATGTCCCGGACAATGTTTAAAATGTCAAAATGAACAAATGGCAACAACTCCAAAATAAGTCAAGGCAGAGTTACGTTTCTTGTGCACTGCACATCTAATGAAGATCTATAAAAAGTTTGATGCTGATATCTCATATAGTTTAAGAGTTATGTCCCGGACAAGATTTTTCTAAAAGGGAAGATAATTCAAAAACGGTGCAAAATAGTTCTGGTTCTTTGACAATGCACACGGCCTCAATGTCCTATACCACTATGTGAAGTTTAGACAAATTATCTCCAAGGGTTTTCAAGTTATACTCCGGACAAGACAACGGACGGACATGGCGGCGAGTGTGTGCTCTCCCTTCGGGGAGCATAAAAAAATAGAGCTAGTTAGTAGTATAAACTTAAGTGACAATGCAAAGATAATTATGTTATCTTGTAAAGTATGCATTTATAAAACAGAATGATTATTGTATTATTACTTGTCTTCCATAAATATTTAAATATTGATTTATTTGAAAAATTCATAAATATGACACATGTTTACTTAAATGCTAGAAATATTTACATAGAATCAACAGCACTCTTCCTGTATCTAAGTATTATCAACAGCACTCTCCCGGTATCTAAATATCAACAACAGCACACTTCCCGTATCTAAGCATAATCAAAAGCATTCTTTTAGTGTCTAAGAATAATCAACAGCACACTTCCCGTATCTAAGTATAATCAACAGCACTCTTCCAGTATCTAAATATTAACAACATCACACTTCCTGTATCTAAGCATAATCGAAAGCACTCTTCCAGTGTCTAAGAATAATCTACAGCACACTTCCCTCATCTAAGTATAATCAACAGCACTCTTTAGGTATCTAAGTATTTACAACAGCACTCTTCTTTTACCTAAGGTTTACCAGCAGCACTCTTTCCGTACAGCACACTTCCTTATCTAAGTACAATCAACAGCACACTTCCTGTATCTGCATAATCAACAGCACTCAGATTCTTCCCGTATCTAAGTATAATCAACAACACTCAATTTCTTCCTGTATCTAAATATAATCAAAAGCACACTTCCTGTATCTGCATAATCAACAGCACTCAGTTTCTTCTTGTATCTAAGTATAATGAACAGCACTCAATTTCTTCCTGTATCTAAGTATAATCAACAACACTCTTCCTGTATCTATGCCAAGTCATTTTTTTTTATCTCCGATCATTTAATAGAAACTTTTCGAAGGGTAAGTCTTTTCATGTTGAATTAGGCTTACTTTCTTTGGGTTTTTTTTTTCAATATTTTTCTTGTCAACACTTCCGGTAAAATATGCCTTTTGAACATGGGAATAATACGTTCCAACATTAAATTAAACATTTGACAGTCTAAAAAACCTCTTTCAATATGAAGGCCCTTTGACTACAAAATCACATTAATTCAGGTCACAAATATCCATTTGAGCCTGAATTTGTACATAATGGCAATGATCTGATTTCAAAGCATTGTCGCATGAAGAACTATGGTCATGAGGTAATAAGAAGTATGTTTTGTCACTTATTGCACAAGGATGGTCATTCCTGTATTTAGAAGGACATTTTACCTCTACGACCCCTTTTCCACAACAGTCACATTCAACTATACTGTCCGGGGAGGCTCCAATATAGGGGTGATCATGACTAAATACAAAACCACTCTTACTTATAGCAAAATTTGAAGGTCCTTCCATGACAGAATTGTAATATGAATTCAATGCAGTCTCTTCATTATCTATTCCCCACTCGGTTGCAGGTGTTTTAAAGAAACTACCATGACAAATATTTTTATAACTGATGGTGACGGCTTATCAACTGCTGTGTTAAAAACATCGAAAAATACTGATGCGATGATACGTCCACGGCGATATTCGTGCCAAAGACCACTTTTTGACTGTCACCGTGTGCTTTCTTCCAAAAAACTGACGTTGTTCTTTTGAAACCGACAAACTATCAACTTCCTTTTTTATATCTCAAAACCTTTTTACTGTTGGTGAAACCTTTCTTATACCGTCTTTAAAGTTACACACTGGTCATATATATAAGGATTGTAATCCTTTTGCATTGGCATAAATAATATCTTAAATGAAAAAGTGTTTTGTATTAAAGTCAAAATACAATTTTGTTTACATTTTACTACATTTTGCACTACTATCGGTATCTTTAAATAATAAGCATCCTTTTCCCTGTCTAAATAATTAGAAATCATTTAATTGAAAGGCTTAATGAACCTTTAAATACCCCCCCCCCAAACATCTATCATTTTACCTTCTTAACAAAGTTCTGGTTCGGATGTACATGCTCTTTGTTCAACCCTAGCTTCCCACAGCTGTCTACTTTGAACAAGATTGCAGCTGTTGTCTTGGTTAGGTTCTGGTTATATATAAATGGTGGTCCAAAACATAAAAAAGCAACACCATGAAGCAGTTCTAATTAATATTAATTATTCCATTTATAATAACACCTGATATGAGTACATCACATAAATTTTACACCAAAATCCATTCCACTTGGTAAACTACTCTTCTCCAATCTCCAAACATAAGTTACAAGGTGAGTTACAAGTTGAATTACAAGGTGACCTGTAAAATACATTACAAATCCTTACTTCAAGTAATACATATATAACTTGCAATATAATACATTACAATCTCTGAAAGAAATCATTCATCTTCTCACATAAGTCATACATAAACATTAAAGGATGCCTTTAATATAAAGTAAGTGGAATCTAGTGGCTTACACTCTTATTAACTAAACCTTAACATAGAAGGTTGAATATTACAATTTTCATATAAAGTTATCATCTGTTAAAAACAATATAGTCACATCATACATGTACAATAACAATAATTTAACTCACCAGTGTATGACACTGTCCACAATTATAACCAACACCTGTACAACTCTCTTAATCGCCTCTTCACACTGTGACTATCAGTAAAACTGTAAATTTAGAGGTTATATAAAAACATGTGATAAGATATTGAAGATATCAAGTGATATTTAGATTTGTTAAAGAAAGTAGTCCCGTACCGCCGTTTTGATAGTTTCATGTACATAAATTCTATGTATTAAATAAGTTACCAAAAGCTCACGATTAAATTAACACTCATTACCAAAAATGGATGTAAACAACAGTAGGTCAAAACATACCTCAATACAATCAATCCATTTCACAATACACCATACCTATTCAACACAAACAAAAATGAAACAGCCAGAAGATGTCAAACACATCTACCCTCCAAAAACCTTTACTAAACTCAGCTTAGGCGGAAACGATGCCTCGACCAATGAAAATCAATAATTAAAAGTGGGACCAATCAGAACGAGGCTAAAAACTAATATATTTACCAAACACAGAATAACCCTGATAAAACTCGGACCTGTCACACAGCTACATGGGAGAATACTTCACCGAGCCTGTGTGAGAAAAAACAACAATAATTAATTACACTACTAATACAGCTGTTAACTGTGTCAACTTAAAACAAAGCATGTCTCTTACTTTTAAGAGTGTAAATTGAACTATAATTCAACTTTTTTTTATTGCAGTAATCGCTTTCCTTTATTTGAATTAATTAAAAAAAAATCATACTACGTATTTTGTCTCGAAGACTAACATAACTATGTTGAATGAAATACCCTTTCTATTATGCTCTTAATATGCTCTAATTTTTACTTCTCTAAAGTTTTTATTTTTGGTTTACTGTTACAGTTTCTAAATAGTTGCACATTGTTAGTTTTGACAACATTTTTCTTCTGTTGCTTTTGGCAATTAGTTTTAGTATTTTGTATGGAAGTCAAACCACTACTTTGTTTTTCTTGTGTTTATTTTGCTCCTTTTATGACACATTCAACTTTACAGAAAATAATCCTTTATATTTTGTCAATAAATAACAGATAAAATTAGCCTAGGGCTGAATTTAAATTTAACATAATTCACCCTATAAATGATGAATGGTTTTGTCCAGATTGAGAGATGGATAAGTCCATTTTAGATATTTGTGGTAAGGAATAAATGCTATCTTGTTTTCATCTGTAACAGGAATTTATATCTAAGAGGAAAATTATAGCAAATTGTTTTGATCCTAAGCAATACCAGAAACATAGATTTGCCTGCTTTAAATAAAGGAATCCAAAAGTAAAAAGCATTCAACAAGACTGTAGATAAGTCATCCATTGCCTTTAGATAGTAGAATTATAGGGATAATGTAATAAACAAGACCAAAAATTCCTCTCATTCAGCGAGAATAAATGGACCCCTGTAGATTTGTGATTGAACTATATACAATAGTTAACTAATTGTATACATGTCCAATCCATAATGGTGTGAGATATCTGTCTCAAAGGGGTGTGGGTTTAACAAGATGTTTACATGTCCAGTCCATAACAGAGTGGTTTTTTAACCCCTGAGGGATTAAAGAGTTAACAAGTTGTAAACAGGTCCAATTCATGACAATGCCCCTTTCTGTGTAGCTTGTAATGAAAATTTTACTGTTAAGCATTTTCTTCTTGAATGTCATGATTTTTCACAGGCCCGTAATAGATTCTATTGTGTAAATTCACTCAAAGAACAATTCCACCAAAAAATATCATTGGTTATTTGGAAGAGATAGACTTGTATTCTAGGATCTAACTGGCTCACTTTCATTGTCATTTACAAGTTTAGCCTATTATATAGCATTCGGCACGATATGGCCAGTTATGTGTTGACGTGCCGTAAAAATCCAAACAAACAAACAAACAATTCTTTTTAAGTGAGATATTAATCAATATGGAACTATCAGTTCATCTTTGACTGTATGCTAATTAGATAAGTAACAAAATAATGAATGATGTTGGATCAAATGAAGTTTTTTAAAAAAAAATTTTTGGCTTATTTTAAAGCCGTTATTGGGTCATTTTCCCAATTTAATATAGTATATTATTCTCCCAATCCACAGATAAAAAAAATCCTCATTGGAAGTCAAAAAAAAATAAGCATATTGAATAAAAACTCTAAAATCTTTGAAAATAAGGGCTTCTTCACTGTTATGGTGTTTAATGTTTGAAGATGCCATATTAGACAGTGATTGTTTGCAATCATTTAATCACTGTCAATGTTATTGTTTTTTATGTGGATTCATTTTATTTATTTCAAAGACTTCAAAATACAAAATTCCAAGTCAATTATTATTATTTCTATGTGTAAAAGAGCATAATAGACAATGACACATAAAATAAAACTAATGTAAATGATTGAACATGAATTTTTATCATTCTGCCTTTGCTGAACACATATAATAATTATCTGAAATTATTTAAAACACTTTTTTTAAGTTTTTGTTTACATTTTTATGATTATCGGCATCTTTCAACAACCCTTTCGCCTGAGGAAAACAAACTCTTTTGTGTATTCATACACAGGGGTGGAACTCAAAATGTATCTCAAAAATGAGCATCGGTAAAAATTATATGTGAAGTTCCTGCTATGATGCACATCCCCTTCATACCCTTACGGTAGTGTCACGTCTGCACCCAGCCATTAACAAAGTTTGTTTGTTTGTTTGTTTGTTTGTTTGGATTTAACGGCACGTCAACACATAAATGGCCATATCGTGCCGAATGCTTTAATAGGCTTAAAATATTATGTAAAACTTTGTAAATGATAATAAAAAAGAGCCAATTAGATCCTTGAATACAAGTTTATCTCTTTCAAATAAACGATGATGTTTTTGATGGAATTGTATTAAAAATTCTTTGAGTGAATTTACGTTATAGAATCTATTACGGGCCTGTGAAAAATCATGACATTCCAGAAGAAAATGCTTGACAGTAAAATTTTCATTGCAAGCTACACAGAAAGGGGCATTGTCATTCGTAAGGAGATAAGAATGGGTAACTTTAGTGTCTCCAATTCGGCATCGAAGAAGAACTGTTTGATCATGGCGGTTTGACAAAGACAGAGATGGTGACACATCAAGAGATGTGTTTATATCATGCAGTTTATTAAAGACGGCATTGTCCCAATTTGCTTTCCATTCAGATGAAAAGAGTTTATTAATAGCCGTTCTAAAATCACAAGCACGTAACAATAAGTCAGTTTTTTGAAAATTTAATGATTGTTTAGCTTAAGCATCTAATTTTTCATTTCCTCGTATACCTACATGACTTGGAATCCAATATAATTAAACAGATTTTATTTAAAGGTCCACTACTAAGACCCAATAAAAAGTATGCTAAACAAAAGACATTTTTCTTATCACCTCAAAATTGTTCAAGTATGTAAAACTGAGTAGATTGAAAACATATTATGATTATAATATTTCTATACGACCACTTAATCAATGCCATTGTCATGCCTGTTTTTAAACGGAACGAACGTTTTCCGATTTCCCCCGAATGCGTCGTACATCTTCGGGGTTTTCCGGATTGATTTCATAACGAGGCTGTATACATGTAGAACCGCCATAACAAAAACAAAGCGACGTGACATTTATCAAGAATAATATTACCGTTCTGTCATAGTTGAAAGGAACCTATGTCTTCGGTAAGTGTTAGTATTTGAAGAAGACTATTTGATTTAGATTTTAATAGGTTACGATAAACAAATTATCATGTATTTGCAGGACAAAATGAATGCGTATTATGACAGCCGAGTTGAAGTTTGTGTATTCAGTATTTGTTTATTCTGCGTCACATCCTTTTACTGTATTCTTTTGCGTGTCCATTTTAAAAAATTATAATTATATTATCTAAGTTACTCGTTAATAGTGTACTAGTTTACATGCTTGTGACTATAGTCGGGCCTTGGAAAGTCTTATTTTCACGTACATGTATATATAAATTATTTAGAAATTAGAATATCAGCTAGATATTCATGTAGCTACTAGATCTACTAAGTTCATTTCATGAAAATTGTGCATTTGCAGGACATGGAATTTATTTTCACAAAGTCAGTTACATTCATGTAGCTTCTACATTTTTTTTTTCATGCAAATTGTGCATTTGAAAGAAATAACATTTATTTTCAAATAAATGTTTTGTCAATCCACTCAAATCAAGTTCACTGGGTGCTGTTTTTTTTTAGAAAAATTACTCCATTAAATATATCATTAGTAAGTGATAAAATCTTCAGCAGGGCTTCCATTAATGGAAGTTTGGGAGTCAGTTACTCCTTGATTTTGGCTTGTGACTTCCAAAATGTATAACTTTTCCTTCTTTACCTATAAAATGTGACATCCAATATCAGAGTTTGTGCAGTGTCTGACTTTCAAACTTTGGAACTTAGTGGAACTGCATATGCTTTAGGTCGCTTGCAGGTGTATCTATCTCAACATTAGGAAACCTATCGCCCTTTACAGGGAGATAATGTTTGACATTATTGGAGGATAGAGATACTGTAGGCATGCCACTATTTGTCATAGATGGCAGTATTTCAGACACCAACATATCTGAGGCAATATTGTCGTTCTTAGCTAGACAGTTTTCGGCTCTTATACAAGTTTTCATGGGTGCAAGTTTTCAGGCATATGCCTGAAGTTCAGGTTTTTTGTGACAGATTTCTTCATGTTTTACCATTAGATTATGTAGGAAAATGATCATGAATTACTGTTTTCATGTTTTTCCAAATTTTCAACTTGCACCCATGAGTTTTTGATTACATAAATTAAGTGGCGCAAGAAATGGATCCATAAGAATGATTAAAGAAAATAACAATATATGCAAATGAGGCAGCTGATCAATTTATATATATTCAACAATAAAAAAACTGCTGGAATGTTCTTTCGAGTACTTACTACTTGTCGAATTGAAACTTAATTGAGGCATGGCATAACTGTTAATGAGCCAGACCTGCGACAGAAGATAACTTTGTATATCCCAGTTCAGACTAAATACTTACTAGTGATTTTTTCAGAATTTGTTGTTCCATTCAGGGGCAAGCCATTGTTGCCTTAGTAAAATAAGAAACTTTACGCAACTTGCTACTGGGTTGATTCTGCTTTTACTTATAATGAACACATACATGTAACTTAATTGTCGCAAACCTCAAATTGCAAAAAAAGTTTTGTTTATTGCAGTCAGAAAGCAGTAACAGTGGGCAGCTCTTTGAAGAAAGCCCTTCCAGTTCTCCAAGGGGAAGAGGTAGCTCTTCAAGAGGCAGAAGAGGGAGAGCTGGAACAAGCACTAGCAGAGGAAGGTCAAGGAGTAGAAGCGGTTCCAGAGGGAGGGCCAGAGGTAGGGGAAGATCACGTCAAAGGGAAGCTGAAAGCACAGTTGATGTTCTTACTGAAAGAGATGAGAAAATGAAGGTAATCCAGCATTTTTGATGTTTCCGCTATTTCTTACACTATTATTTTCAATACCCTTTTTATGATAAGAAATACATTTTTTTTTTGTAAAAAACAAACAACTCATGTTAATGCATTTTTGACAACCTGCAGCTTGTAGATTTCAGATGATAGGCCTTTAAACTGTTCATACTTTTGTGCATTAAAATATGTAACCATGCTGTTGCTGGTGTATGATGTGAATGAATTTAGTATATTTCTTTATCAGTAAAATATACATTGAACTATATTATATACTTATAAATGAAATATTGATGAAATAAAATGCATATTTTCATTTTCTGTATTGTTACTGTAAAAATTTATTTGTCAATGCAGTGAAACATATATTTTCCGTGTTTTCACTGATGTGTTGCCAGACTACTTTTTAAATAAAACCATTAAGCCATTACACAAAATGTTAGGTATAGCGTCAAAAGAGAAGAAAAATGTATGTAATAAAAAGAAATTTCTTTTTTTCTATAAATACAGGATTTATTTTTTTGTGTTACAAAAATTACCCTATTTCACTTGTCAAGTAGTGGCTATCGTCAGTCATGAAATATTTTTCATACCATTCAATGAAAATAAATTGTGTATTTATAGAAAAAAAACTTGAATATAGAAAAATAACATTGAAAACAGATGGTAAGGTAAAACATTTTTTACATATAGAAAAGGAATGATTATTATCTGTTTTGATTTTAGGAAGAAATTGCTAGTATGGATGTAGATAATTTAAGACAGCTCTGCCTGGAGATGGTGTCAGCTCAGCCAGGGTTGGTTTTCAATATTATGCACCCATCTACCAGACAACCTGGAGGCTACCACCCACCACCTGGGGTCAACTTGCCGGGATGGTGTGTTTGCACTAAGTGCAGAGAGATGCCAACAGAGGCAGAGAAGCTCTGTTGTGGAATGGAAGAATGCATTACTTCATTGCCTGTAAGTTATACTCATACATGTTTTATAGGACAAAATGATACATTTTCTCTCTCCATAATTTGTTTTTAAAAATTTATCTTTCTTTAGCAAACAACGTATTTTCTAATGCAACAACTGACTATTGATTACATATAATGGTAAAAAGGTTAAGATGAATTCATTATTCTTGTTCTCATAAAAAATAATGTAACAAGATTTAGTGTAAATTACTATAAATGATTTTTTTATTATTATTTCTGTTGTTTCCTATAGCATTATATGCAAAGGCTCTTTATGTTTCAGAACTTCAACATTTTGATCTTGGATGAAGAAGTTCTGTCTCTAGGCAGGATTTTTAGGAGAGATGTTTTAGTTTTTGATGAAGAGAGACCGAAATAAGGCAAACCGCCATCAAGGCTACAGGAATTACATCATGTGGCAGCATGGAAGCCTTGGAGCAGGTGTTAAGCGTGTTGTGCCATCCTGTGCCGTTTGGGTCATTCGGGACAAATACCCTGACCCGTTCGGGCAGTACACTGGTTTCGTACCTTCTCGGTTTGCATGATTGTATTGTAATATACAAAGAAAAGAAAATAAACCACCTTCATTTAAAATTTGGTTTTTATTTATTTATTTTTATATCAAAAGTAATGAAATAATTTAAAACAAATAATTGAGGATAAAACTATCATTCCAGATGATGCATAGCCCCACATATCATTAAAGGCACATTATGCTTCAGAAACAAAAATTTACTTCTAAAAGAATTGTGAGATGCTTTAAAAAAGTAGTAGTTATAGTGAAATAATTAATAAAAGTAAATTGTAAACCAAAAAGCCAAAGTTGAAAAGGGGTTATCCAGTAATTGGCCAATGAGTAACTTTTTCAATACTTTGAAAGTATACCAAAATTTTAAAGTTATGAAAAATAAAAATAACAGCATTTCAGAGGCATAATGGGCCTTTAACTAATATTTTATCCTGTAATATGAAGGCTCCCTGTATGTATCTGGTCTCTACTTTTATATTTTAACAAAAATGATCTTGAGTCTGACAGGCTTTAATATTATCCAATACAAAATCTCCATATAAATTTACTTTAAAGCAAGTTCAAGCTTTAACTCGGGGTTAAAAGACCAACAATCTCACAATATATGCTCAAAAACTGTTAGTTCTCTGATATAAGCTGAACATATTCTAACATAAAATGCAGTTAATCAACAATTTTAACAAAAAGACCTGAAAGTAGCAGTTTGTTTCCAATAAAACACTGTGTAGTATGTATATACTTGAAATAAGTCCATCAGACATTTATGCCCCTATTAATTTGCCTGTCACATGGACATTACTTTTTTTACACATTTATTCATACTTGAAGTGTGGTTGAGTGTTATACATTACAAGAGCTGCCACTGTCATGACATGAATACCCCCGCATACGACTTTGTCATAATCAACTGTGGCCATTTACAGCTCAAGGACAACCTCCTTGCCAAATCTGAGGTTACTAAGCCAGTGCATTGCTATGTTATGTATTGTACATGCTTCAAATGTGAAAATCAATACACTGCGGATTTGCATTCTTAAGCATCTGATGGATTTAGTAAAAATCCATTTGACCTTGACCTTTGACACAGTCACGTAAAAATTAATAGGGATCATCTACTAATCCTGACTAACCTATATGCCAAATATGAAGACTGTTGGTCAATGGAATCTTAAGTAATTTAGTGGACAAGCTTTATGTATTCAAGGCCCATGTGACCTTTACCTTTGACCCAGTGACCTCAAAATCAATAGAGGTTATCTACTTATCATGACCAATCTAAATATCAAATATGAAGACTGTGGGTAAAAGGAATCTTAAGTTATTTGGCTGACAAGGAAAAAACGACGGACAAGCTGATTTCAGTATATATCCCCCCCCTTACAACTTTGTTGTGCGGGGGTATAATAAAAGTGTTATAACTCAAAATGTCCATAAAACCCGACTCAAAACTTATTGTCATTGGCATGACAAGATTTTCACATCTGTGACATTGACCTAATAACCTGTAAAAGCAGAAATTTGTCATCAACTGGCCTGGTCATAGCAACATTAGCTTGGCTTATTTTTGCTTATGCTGTTTATCAGACAAGGGTCTTACAAATACTACGCATAATAACAAGAACAATGTTACCTTATGGCCTTAGCAAATGTCACAACTAAGGGCTTATTCTTTACATAGTTATTATATAGTTTATATATGAGTCGTGTCATGACAAAACCAACATAATGGGTTTGCGACCAGCATGGATCCAGACCAGCCTGCGCATCCGGGCAGTCTGATCAGGATCCATGCTGTTTGCAATCAGTTTCTCTACTTGTTGTAGGGTTTGTAAGCGAACAACATGGATCCTGATCAGACTGTGCGGATGCGCAGGCTGGTCTGGATCCATGCTGGTCGCAAACCCATTATGTTGGTTTTGTCGTGACGCGGCTCATATATTAAATGATTTAATAAAATGTTGCTGTGACCTTGGTGGTCATATGATTTTCTGCAGCATTTTTCATGCACATGGTCGGCAAAAATTTTCATATAATATAATATACAACTTTTGTGGAGGACCAACAGGTAAAGCTACCAAATATTATAGCTTTTGTAAGAAGATCTTCAACATTCTATTGTTACTAACTAATTGTCCACCAGACTAGCACCAATATTACAACTGTTGTCCACATCCTGTCTGAATCATTTCTGTGAAGTATGGCCAAAGCTGTAAAATAATTGTTGGTAATAATGGACATCATGTAATCAAATCATCTCTTATAAAGACAGCAACTGACACTTAAATACATCAAACAAGCTTTCCCATAACAGTGCCGTACAGACTGTCTAATTATAGCGGGATTTCTTTTCTTGAACCAGCTGTTGTGTGGATGGCGGTTCAACAGGTGCGATTGTCTTGCTTATTAGCCGGACATCTGTTGGGTCCAAAGTCACCTTCCTATACATTCCCTTGGTGTCATTTAGTCTGTTCATTAATGCCTTCACAAGGACTTCCTGAATGTAATCGAAGGATTTTGGTTCTTTGCAGGCATAAACTGACCACCTTCCTGACTTCTTGTTGTAAGTCCTGTGGTACCTGTTAAAAAAAGTGTGAATACATTTCATTCATAAATAACAAAATCTTAGCCAATTATAATAAAAATCAAGCAAACATTTGTCCTTGAATGTCAAGGTCAAGTACAATCGATATTTTGTCTCGTCTCCAAGTATGAAGACAATCCATAATATAAAAAAAATCACCATTAATTTCGGACTGCAACAGCAAAGGATGAGATGCCTGTTGAAATAACTCAAATTTATTTCTTCGAAAAAGCCGAGTTAAAAATTGTTGAATATTAAAAATACCTTGTAGATCCATCCTTGTTTTTCATTTCACCCCTGCTTGCATTTTTGTTGTGGTCCAGTGCAGCCAGCAGGTTCCTTGCCCTGTATACGGGTGGTGTATATGCAAAACGTTTAGCACAGTACATCAGTATGTGTTGATGGAACCCCTCTAGTTCTGCTGTGCTCCTGAAAAACATTTTTTTCTGGTTCACATTTGTTTGACTTATGTTTGGTGAAATAGAAAGATCAGAAAATGCAAAGTTATTAAATAAACAAAAATAATACTGGAAAACCAAGTTCTAATCAAATCCATAGAAATACCATTGAGTACTAACTCTAGATACTATAGGCTAGTATTTTGTATTTATACATTTGCTTGGATGGTATAAACTACTTATTAAGTCCCCATTTGTAGAATACAAATAAAACTGTATGTGTTTTGGTTAAGTTTCCTGGTATTTTCCTTCTTGGAGGATAGGGGTACCTACACACATTATTATTTCAACCGGCGTAATTAGTGGGAACTGTTGTCACCAAAATTGATTTAAAAGATCAAAAAACTGTTACAATAAAAAATCATGTTTCCTTACAAGATACAAAAATATAATAATTGTGTTGACACTAGGCCACTTATATAATGGCTATTCATTTGCCAAAATGTTAGTCTGCTGGGATAAAAGAAAACTATGACATAATATAATTTTCAATTCTACAATAAGTTAACATATATAACTTAATGCTAAAAATTGAATACATCAACTGTTGACAACCATGTCTTTTATTTACCTCCAGGACTATTTGTATATGGAAATATCAAAAACATTCATCAACAAATACCTGAAATTTAAGAAGTGCTCCACATTTTTCAATAGTCTCTTGTCCAAAACAATGTTAGCCAGTTCTTTGAGAACATGACTGTCTTTTTCAGGATGAAGCCATGGTTTGCTTCTTGATTCATCTTCTCCAAGAGGATCATGAAGGCATTGGTACAATCCTCCGTGGGGAATTATCCATTCATGTTTGTTGGTAATATGGTGAAGAACACTTCTCCAAATGCCCTAAAATACAAGCACCAAATGAAAACAGAGAATTTTTATGTCTGTAATGATACACAATAAGACAGATGTAACAGTCTACTTTATACAGAAATCAACTTGCACGTTGCATGCACCCACACACACACACACACAGACACACGCACAAAATTAATATATGCAAGTGTTCCTAATAAATTGTTGCAATACAAATATTGATACAGAATTAATCAAAGCAAACATCTTAACTCTAGTATGCTTTCAGCCATTGAATATACCCATGTGACAAGTGCAGACCAAGAAATGCAACCTCATCTGGGCCACCTGATTATGGTCTGCACTGTTCCCTATTTAGCCAATACATATTTATTATCTTTATTTGGCTAAAAATGGTAATGATTCTGTCCAGATAGGACAAGTATATTTAATTAATTAGTGTGGTGATTGTTATGGAAAAAAATCCTGCCTTCCACAAAAAGTTTCTATGTACATACCACAAACTCTGAATAACTCTCAGCCTTTTGACAGGAGAACCAGAAATGATTTATAATGTCTCTAGACCATTTCATGAGGACCATATTCTGCTTCTTTTGAGATGCCTGAAAAAAACAACAACAACATATGCTTGATACAATATCTTTCCCCAATCATACAACTCTTAATTTGAAAATGAAAGATCTATCAAGTTTCATCACTATTAAGTTATTAATATGATTTATTGGTTATAATTTTACAAAGAATCCAGGTACACAGTCCATTCATATGACAAACATCATGGTATTGTGAAGCAATATGAAAACTATGTGGCTTTAATTTTGTTAATATGATTTCTTGTTAATATTAATTGTATAATTCTATAACAGAATACATATAGTTCTATTTTGGTCTAACAATTTAAACAAAGTACTGCCTACAATAAATTTTACTGTTTGTAAGATAAATATACCTTAACTATTTTCTTCCCAAGGTTTTTAGCCACATGCCAAATGTCATATGAGTGTTTCACATCAGGGTATTGTTTTTCTAAAATACAGAAAGATACTTATTATACTTTTAAAAGTAGTCACAGAAATGTAAAAATAATGATATATTGTCTAGTATTTCATGAAAATATTTTCATTTATAAATTAAGTAATGACTGATTTGAAAAAGCACTATCAAATGTTATTTAAGGACATTTTATAATAAGAAAATCAAATGAATTGTAATCTATTTTGTGCAAGGTATTTGCATTAGGAAATATATGCAGAGACTATATTCTATAACTAAACAAAAATCTCAAATATGTTAATTATGTCTTCAGAGTTCATGCATATAACAACATGTATAAACATACTCATCACAGACGATATTCCCAAGTGTGCATCTGTCACAACTTCCTTCACTGACAAGCCACTATCTTTTATTTCATTTAATGCCTGTATAAATCCCCTTTTTTCCATATTCACCGACTTTCTTTCTGTTTGCCTCTTATCAATGGTGAGTAAGGAAATTATCTTCTTTGTGTCATATTCCATAAATGTATAGGAGCAATATTGGGCTGAATGGCCTGGACTGTCATTTCTTCCATCACCTAAATATTTTAAATTCACAGTTGCTATTCAACAGTTTATATACTAAAAACAGGTCTAATAAGTTACTAGATTACTAGTATCTGGTTGCAAGGTGGCAGGTTAATGCAAGTTTTTTTCTTTAATTTAAATTCAATAATCATATTGCTGCCAATCCTTTAAAAATAAATAGTTGTTTTTTTTTATTTTGAAAAAGAATACTTCCAACATAATACTGTTTCATTTATCTTTGTTAAATTGTAATACTGGACAGAGGTTTGAGTCAATGGTTTGACACTGTAAAAATCATACAATTACACTGTGTAACACACTAAGTAATTTAAAGACAAGGTAACACTAATTAATCAACCATTAATCCTGACAGTTCAAGAAATTATTGTGTTTTATTGGGTAAGCTTTACAAAGGTGTAGAAATAGACACATACCCATTAAAATAATATCACGGTTTTGAAATTCTGACCGAACTTCTTGCACATTTTCATCCCAAGCACTTTCTATGGCTGGAATCATATAGCATCGCTGTATTCCATGAAACCGTGTCGAAGAGGGAAACAGCAAGTTCAGTTGCTTCGCCCACAAAAGCATTTTACTATAGTTGTTCCCAGATGATAAAATTGTGGAACAGATGAGAAAATCACCTGAGTGCAATTTTCTGTTCAACTGGGACTGGGAACACCACTTCTTCACAACATGATTCTTGCCACAAATCTGTATGTTAAAATGAAATTGCTAAAATGCTGTCATTCTGTTTCACAAATAAATAATTATGCTATGATTAAATGTTGAGCATAAATCATAAGTGAAAATTTTACATTATTTTACTTCATTTGAAATAGTTAAATTGTACTTAACAGTTGATTGCAATTGCAATTAAACTATATCCTGTCATTCTATAAATATACATTTCATCACTGTTTAAAGGCTCATTACACCTCAGATATGAACAGCTGTTTTCTTCTTTAGAAGGAACAAACATGTCTCTAATGAAGATTTTATAACAAATTCAAGTAAATTGGATGTTTATCAGCAGAAGAAAGTAATAAAAAAAATCATAACGTAAACGACTGTCATACAAAATCACTGTAACAGTAAACTATACTAATTGCCTTAAAATCGAATGTGATTCAGTACAATTCTTATGTTATTGTAAGACAACAAATTTAAGTTGGTAATCAATTGCCATTATCAACATGAATTGATCATTTAGACTTTTATTGATAACATTGTAAAAAGTTGGAATAAACATATTTTACTTTTGTTAAAACTATTAAATGTATTTTTATTTCCTACCCATTTGATATAAACTGCTGATCCAATAAAAGAATGCTCTATTTGTACAATGTCACTGCATTCTGTACACTGAACTTGGCCATAAGATGCTAGAGTCAGCAGTTGTTCCAGGAAGACAAAACATTTCACTGAGGATGTTATGTCCTTACTGTCCTGTTCAGATGTTATAATCTTAATGTCTTCCACTGGAATGTTCTCTACATCTTCGGCTTCCTCAACTAATTCCTCATCGTCTGCTTCAAGATTGAACTCAACCTCTTCAAACGCAACATCATCTGCTAACACTGTCACTTCTCTAGGACTGTAATTTGAAAACAATAAGTATCTTTAATTCAAAACTATAAAAGTTTCTTTTACAAATCAATCAAGTCATATTTTGTATACTTTAGAGCTTCAGATCTTTATAAATTCCTTTTCGTGATGAACCTATCTTTTATGTAACAAAGCACATGTGAAAGAAAATTGGTCCACCATGAACCTGTGACAAACAAGTAATTCTGGCTTTAAAATCATGCAAAAATTGACCTTCATACCCTGTAAATTGCATAAATTTACCAATTTGCAAAGCCACATGTATGTAAGTTTCTGAGTAGCTTTATGTTCACTTGTTTTAACAAAAATGTATGGAAAAGACTGCTTATTGAAGACCTAACAGTTCACTAGCCATGAAATCCTGAAGGTCATTTTGACAATGTTTTACTGACTACAAGGTCAAATCCACATGATTTTAAAAATGTTTGACCCTCTAATTAATTCCTAGGTGTCAAGTCAGGCCTTTTGGAAATTTTAAGGGTCAAAGAGTCATTTCAAGGGTCAAACGGACACCCTTCCATGTATTTTTTGACAAACTTTTGAAAGTGATTATTATTAAATGATAATTGATGCCATCAATAATCATTTAATTATCATTTAATAATGAAAACTTTCAAATGTCCTTGTAAAAATCCCTCTTACCAAGCAGTAAACTTCATAAAGTACTAATCACTTACTCCATAATCTTGTAGGTTTAAGAAATTATGACAAACTTTTTTGTAATCATGGATGTAAATAAAGTATGCTGGTTCTTACTATGTACAAACATCATGTGACAAAAAATCTAGAAATTGTGTAATTAATTTCTTGTGTCTGATGTTATGTTCAAATGTGTCAGTATTTCTCAGCACAGCTATGTTTAATCATAGCATAATACAAATTTTATGTACCCAATTGAGTTACAATGAATGAGAAAGCACTTAGTTTCAGGCCACATATTTCTGTTAAAATTTAAAAATTGTGTTGCTAGAATTGAGTATACATACAGCACAGCTGTTAAACAAAAGCTTGGCTGGTAGTCTTCATCTATGTTTTCATCTTCATCTTCACTGTCTTTTTCATCAGAGATCTCAATTGACAAACTGGATCAAAAACAAAGGTCTAAATAAAAACACCACATTTTTAAAACAGTAAAATACAAAATGTATGCAGTTATCTTTTTGGATAATATTAGAGGCTAACACATAGGATATACCTGCATAGTCTGTGCATATTAATATACATGTATTTGCCAATATATCCTTTTTGTTTGAACTTTTTTCTCATGCTTGAGAGTATGTCTTAACAAAGAAATACATGCAACACAGATACATGAATAATCTTTTAAGTTTACTTTTATAATCTAAAGTAAAAAATACAAAATTCTCACTTGAATGGATCAATGAATGAGTCTGTAAGTTGTTTTTTAGTAACCTTCCTCCCAGCAGATGAGACAGCCTGGCCTTTGGAAGTCCTGATTTAATAAAATAATCAGCTTTAACATAGTAATAAATAGTAATAAAAATGATAAATGCAAAAAGGTAACCTAAATAACAAGTCCAGCAATGTGATAAAACTTAATAGATAAAATATCTTAACTTGTGAGTAAATAAACAGAATTTTGGGTATGATACAACATATCAATTACGCTCATAATCGTTTATTTCTGATTTTCATTTTTTTTAAATAAGATATATAATTTCATGTTTAATTTAGAAAAATTGAATAACTTGGCCTCAAAGAAATTTACTTACTGTAGTCCTCTAAGAGTCTTTAGTTTTGCATCTCCAGCTGAAGTAACTTTTACTTTTGGCAACTGTTGTTCCCTGAAAGCAAGAAAATTTGTTGTTGATACAAACAAAACCACCTAAGTTTCATTTTCATTAATATCAAAATCATGAATGATCATCATTTCATTTTTGCTGTAGTGACCTAATGAAAATGAAAACAGGTTGAGCTCTAAAAAAATCATAGTTACAAAATATTGAAACTCTTAGTCCAAGGTATTAACAAGTGGATTTCATTATGGAAGTAAGGCAATAAACAAATAGGAGCTTTCTAGCCATGTTTCACACATTGTTATAGCCTTAACCCTATCCAGAATTGCAGAATAATAAATTTTGTGAATTAATTAAAAATACTTGTATACCACAATCCTGAATATATAACGGCTTTATCGTACAATATTTTGCAAACTTACATACTTCACTTATTCTTGCTGAAATGCTACAATCACTTCAACTCCAGAGATGTCTTCCTTTTCCCTGAATTATAAAGATAGGATTGTATGAGACTAAACTGGGATAATTAATATCATAAATATTCTCAACAATAATTAATTTTTGATTCTCAAATTCTTTTTCCTGTAACCTTAAAAAATTGTTTAGACATTGACTGGTATTTGTATGAAAAATTTAGAAATGCATCTCCTTAAATGTATGTCTAAAAAAAGTGTTAACATGTCTTCTATAACAAGTAAAAATATATGGCTACCTGTCACTTGACTCCCTGCTAGACACTTCAGACACTGATGGTGTTCTGGCAGCTCCAGATTCAGCATGCATTGGTGTGGATGTGACCTTTGATGGACCAGCCTCTTGAACATACTTGGTAATCATCTTTGAACAACCTGCTACTGGAATGGAAGCCAAATCCAAACTATGCTCATACCTATATTAGACAAAAATATCATTTTCTATATCAGGTTTATGGACTTAGAAAAACATACATAAATTTTAATTTATGTTGTAATAATTATTATAGTATATGTCATTTTTTCTTTTCAAACATTTAACAACATTAGTGACAAACAGATGTCACACTCAGTCTCACATGGTGAAAAAATATGCAACCTGACCACAACTCAAATCAGAGCCCTTGGATGCAGTACTGTGGCTCTACAGACAACTATCTGGCCGCTTACATACTATCAGCCCAAAAAGTTGAACAGTTTTGAACTGTGAAATTGGACATGACACTATATATCATCACTAACCAAACGTCATAGTGTAATAAAAATGTGCAACCAGACCGGGTCTAAAATTGGGACCCTCAGAATACTGTACCACACAATCTGGCAATCTAATGGATTAGACCCCTATTTATTTTTCATAAACTTGTATATAATACACTAATTTGTGACTAAAGAAAACGGAATGAACCTTATATCTATTCTCCTGTTTAGACTGACCCCAGAGTCTAATCCAGGATATAGCCACATTTGTCTTGCCAATAACAGAATAATGGTCAAATAATCAAAAAATAATCTCTGCTTGATAATTTATATCCAGCACATTTTACTCAATTTTAAAAGAGTTTGGTTTTCGGTCAGTATCCGGCATGTCTAAAGAGTATATGTACTCAATCAACTTGTATGGAATCTGCTAAGAAATACACAACAGATGAATTTTTTTCATCACTTATATGTGAACTTCTGAACTATGTACTGATGTTTTTTTCTATCCTTATTTGCGTTAGATATAAAATCTCTGGGTACATGTACCTCTTCAAGGCCAAAAGCAGGAATTGTGCGTATTAGGTGTATTTGTTTTTTTTATACAAACGAATATATAAAAATAAACTCACTAGGTAAGCAAGCTGGATATTGATCCATGTCTTGAACCAAAGTTGCTACGTCTTTAACTCAATTATTTCAATGTGAAGAAACCAACTACACGTACATCTATCAAAACGGTTACATTATCGTTGCATATCAATTATGTGCTTGTATATGTCTGTTTTCTCGGGGCAGATATGTTTTTCCACTATAATCAAAAAAGTGGTTAAAATATGGTGGGAATCAAGGCTAAATTCATGAACAATAACGTATGTTTTAAAATGCTAAATTTTAATCAAGACTTAATGTGAATTAAAAAAGTAAATCAAGATTTAATGTGTTTTCTTTCATAGAAAACATGATATACATGTTTATTAACTGATGTTGTTTAAATTAGTACAATACCCTCTATGCTTTTGCATAATATCACAATGTTTTTGAAAGATCAAAAGAGATAATATAATTATATTCACGGGACAATGTATCGAAGGAAGCACTGCTGTCGGAATCCTACATTATGTGCATCACATTATAAAACTTCTAAAAGGTCAAACAACTCGAGAATTGATTTTAGCATATACAATAAGAAATAACTCATTAAAAATTATCAAATTTTCCTTCTCAAAGTTCTGGCACCAAGACAATTTTTAGAAAGGCAGGTCATTTAAATACACACAAATGCAAGTAACTTAACCGGGCAGATTACTCGGAAACTAATAGAGGTAAGATTAGCGGCTTATTATGGAATACAATTTGATTAATTTCAGTTTTTTATATTTCATTTATGTACTTTGATAATAATAATATTTTGAGAGACAAAATCAATTTGAGAATGAAACTAATTCGTTTTTGAAAATAAAAATCAAGGAATTTTAAAACGACAAATCAGTTCAGTTTAATCATCTATATGGGTAAATTTCACAGTTTAACATTTTACTAAAATATAACTAAGAAACAGAAAAGGACGCAATGTTGAGGGGACAGTACTTCAGAAATATTTGGCCATTCAACTAAACTAGACTTGTCAATTAGTACTGCCACCAATTATGGGATTATACAAGGACGAAGTAACAAAATATAACAGAATAGGGAAAAACAGAATCCTTAAAGAAAGTCCAACACAACAAAATTGAAAATGTTGCAGGCTCGGTTTGATTGAGCCTGTTCATGGACGGTACTGGAAAGTGCAAGTTACCGTCCACGCCCCCTAGCACCGGCTTAAGCAGAATTCAACATTTAACACGAAAATGGTGAAATTTTGAATTTAGAAACATCCGCAGATGTTTTCATACGTCGGTTATCATGGAACCTTCAATGTGACACAGTAGTGCCATTCCATGAAAAGCGGCGTATGGTCCGCAAGTTAAAGAATGCTTTTGCCCTAAACGAGAAAACAATGGGCGGAACTAAATAAAATGGAATTTAGAAAGGGGATACGAGGTTATGATGCCTGCATATCACAGATAAGACGTCAAAAGACAAATTTAAAAAGCAGGCAACATATCCTAAGGGTGATTATACAGTATTCAAGTAGGAAAACTGGAACCACCCAAGTTGAAAATGGCCAAATAGAAGAAACTAAAATTACCACAAAACATGTATACATAACAATAATGTCGTGCTGAACGATCTTCAAGGATCGAAAATATAACATCATTGATTAAATGTACGGGGAGACTTTTTACAGCCGCCACACGGCACAAATAACACGGATGTGGCAATAAAATAGGGAAAAACAGAATCCTTAAAGACACCTTACATTTGGCAGCGATGGACAGTTCAAAACTAATATAAAATGTTTCTTGCATGTTTTGCATGAATATTTCGAAGTCACTTTTTCTATCACACATATTACACAAGACTGTTAATAAGCGACATGTAAATAAGTAAAACTTATTAGGAAAATATTATCCAAAATAAACATTTAACGAAGTTTCCTTGTAAATATTATTGTGATACAAAGTTTTGTACACAAAATAGATAAATACAGAAGTCCATTTAATGAAATCCCTTTCGAATATTAATCCAGTTGCGGAAAGACAGCGTTAATTTTAGTTAAAACAATATTTTATTTATAATACATACATTTACATAATAAAGTACATAAAATAAAATTTACGGATTTACAGAATTTATTTTATGAGCAGATAACATTTCCCCAAATGACTTTAGATTATAATTATCATCAGAAGTGAAATAAACTTGAAGATTTATACGACAAACATCTGATAAACAGATGAAAAATTAAATTGTGTTATAATATTGATATGACTCTATATTGATATGTTTGGAAAGAGAATAAAAGCAAATGGAGATATGACTATTTATATTTACAAGACGTCACTAGGCACTTCATAAATTTAAAGAAATATGCCTTAAAAAATTAAGCTACAATATAATTATTCTTGTCATTAAAAATAAATTAACAAATGGTGCGATCAAAATTATTTCTAGTAAAAGAATGCACAGTTTAAACAGTCTATATTTTTATCGAAAAATGAAGTAGTTGATGCAGGTAGCATGAATCTTTAAATTGTGTTAGAGGTGTTTTCATTGTTTATAGTAATACTAATATAAGTACAAAACCGTGTCATTGATTCTCATACACTTATCTTGTCATGCAATTTTTGTATAAATATACATGGTTTACAACAATGCAATTGCATTGTGAAAGGAGTTTAGCTAATAAATAAATATGTTTTGTTAAAAACAATTCTGTATGAGAGACTTATTTCATTATGTAATGAACCGAATTAGAAGACCCATTAAACCTTGCTAACATTGTATACATTTTTACCATTAATGTTGTGTGTAAATTCATCTTTAGTATTTTTATTGATGTCTACTATTGTTCTAAGCTTGGTGAATTAAACGGTTTATGAACGTTAAGAGTCATGAAATCATAAAGTTATAAAAGTAAATCCTCTTCGCAAAATGTTATCTCCAAAGGGGCTATATAAAACCAGAAGTAAACAGGAGTATTATGTTATCTAAATGCATTGGCTGTTATCTCTAAACTGGCTCTTAAACGTTATCTTTGAGATAACGTTTAAACATATTTAAGCAATTAAACAGTTGTGACACTGTTAGAATTTACTGATTCACAATCAATCAAATGATAAAAAAGTAACACACAACATTAACAATTCTTTCGAATGCGAAGCGGTTCAGGTAGCGCTACAAAAACAAATCTACCGTCCAGCCCCAATTCCCCTGGCACCTGAGTAGGAACACCTACTTTCCGTAAACTATTTATCCAGCTTGCTGACATGTTAAAATTTTAAGTTCTTAACAGGATTCAAACCCACAACGGTATAGTGGAAGAGATTTGACATCAGCGACTTTGTTTCCAGATTTTTATACTTCACAGCAGCAGGTGTCAAGTGCCGTGTGGCAGCTGTAAAACGTTGCCCCGTACTTCACTTTTAGTGTTGTTATATTTTTTTCCCGGGCCCTTTTGGATCATTGATGC